CTGTCATTGTAATATTTCTGAAGTGAAAACAAAATGTTTTGCTGAACGATAATCTGGTTATTCTAAAAAGTTTTACTCACAAAAAAATAAATATAAATCTTTTATATTGGTTCACACAGTATATTTTGTTTCAAATAATTTTTACTTTCAGTTCTGTGAGAAAATATTGACCATTTAATATATTAGAAACAACTATATGTATATTGTCCATGAGGAGTTTGTTTAACGATGTGCATCTTTTAATTCAATATAACAATTTCACGTATGAATCACAGTGTTTAATTTAATCAGGGTTATCTACAATAATTATTGTTAATTATAGATCACATTCGTTGTGATTCCAATAATTCAGCTTGTTTAGATACGTGAATAATAAAGTGGATAAATTTGAGGGTAAAATCCCAAGAATTTCTCGATAAACTATTTGACAGTAAATACAATCAATCTACTATGAAACAGTCTTAGACGGTTGTGATACCTAACATTTTCTGTTCGCGTATTTCATTTCATATAGAACTTCAATGTCAAACAAAATCTCAACCAAATAACTATTATTTCTGTGATCCACATTCCGATATAGATTCCGCGAATTTGGGAAGCCATTAATCTGGTAAATGCACAATGATGACTGTGACAGAATATTGTGTGACTTGAAATTTCTCGCGTTTTACCCAGAATAGAAAAACAAGTCGTTTCAACTCTAGCGAGAGTGAACAAAAATTTTGCTAAGACTGCTTTATTCTGACATATTCAACAAATTCAGTAAACCAATATCAAGTTTTTTGAGTCAACATTCACTACCTTTTTAATCAAAAATAAGACTGACCACTACATTGACAGCACTATTAAACGGCAAAACACATATGAGCTAAAAAGCTAAAGCTAAAAGGAAATTTTCTTGTTATTTAGATTTTTAAAGGGTGAATATTTATAACTGATATTCTAAGTAAAAGTAACGTTATAGAACAGCAAAGTAAACAAAGTAATAAATTCGCTTTTTCGAATTCCTTATAAAAAATGTTTAAAAAGTGAGAATTTTATAATTTTAATAAAATAATTCAAATAAATATGAATGTCATTTTACGGAACCCGGTAAATAATCTTGCCACATTCTTTATCTCGTTGTTGGGTCGTAAATACATTTCTTGCAACAGGATAAACGTTTGACTATGCACGTCATACCATAAGTAGATCCTTTCACATAACCAACTTAATTCATACCCATTAAGTATTCATCTTTGAATGCAGAAATTCAATAACTTTCAAAGATATTTTTCATAAAATAGTAAATGCGATATTCGGTGGAATTGTGCTGTTTTTTATTACATGGAATTCGAATATGTCTGGTGATCGTATCACAGTGGGAGACATTCTCAAATAGATACAATTTCTTTTTTAGTCAAGGAATTGGACTTTAATGTAAAATGCCGAATAAAATTTTCAAAATCACGTAGTTTGTTGGATTACAAGCTTGGTAAGATCAGTCAATGATAATAATTGTAAGCGGTTTGTAGAGAAACTCTACATATCATTTATATAGACAAAAGTTTTGCCTCCTTGATTTTTTTTGTGATAATCAACAACATAAATCATCAAAACTTAACAAATAGAGATTTACACAGAACTTACACTTCATAAAATTATATGGTAAAAAACCTTAAGTTCGTCTAATAGCGATAGTGAGTATATCTATAATAATTGCGATATATCAATGTGCACTGGGCTGTGAGAAAATTGTGCATAACCGGTGGTAGACGATCGTAATAAAACAAAAAATGACTCAGTCAATATTATGACACCCATAAAGATCCTAAATATTAATACTGAATAATTTTAATAAATAACTATGTGTTGCTTCTAAATTTATAAATATTGAAAAGATTTTAAAATGTGAGAATTTATGATTCAAAATAGACAGTTTTAAATATAATAATCCCACGTTTAATTCAAATTAGGACTGACAGACCAAACCGTAAAAGTGATCACCTAAGTTAGTTGTGAACCATGGAGCAGTAAATAAAGGGATTAAAAACGAGTAAATGTACAAGTACGGTGTATCTGTGTGTGATAATCAGTGCATTAGTTGTAGTACCACCATAAGAACAATATTACAACTTAAAGTTATTTTACTTTCAATAAGGCGCAAAAAGACTTAAGATGTCCAGACCGAATAAGTGTGAAAGATAGTAACACTAAATATAGCTACAAATTATTGAATTTTAATCATATTTATAAACAGCAAGGTTTTGTTGCAAAGTAAACTGATGATAAAAAAATAATGAAGTATTATTCGAAAAAGTGATGTGATATTAATTTAGTGTAGAAATTTTACTAAACAGTCAAGAGATATAATAAAATTCCGACATATCACTAGACGTTATTTTCTATCTAATCACATATATCTTCACTCTAGTGTCTTGGCAATATTCATATGATGTTTATCAGTATATTTGTTTCATATTTTGATAGTCGACGATTTACTTTAATTTCTGTGCTAACCAAACACCACACTATCATCCCATCATAGTTGAATATCAGCTCATTTTCACCCTATGAATCTATAAATTAAAATACTGGGTGCGCACAAAAATTTATGAATTGTCTGAATATGATTAATTTTGTGTAACTTTCAGTCCCAGTTTCTATCATAAAGATTTAGTTCCTAATTACTGGATATGTAGTCATATGACATATCAAGCAATGAAAGTTTCGATTTGTTGGTCATACAAGGAAGTGGCTGTTTGGAACATCTTGTTGTTCTCCATAAGTCATAGATGTAAAAAAGTATTCTTACCAAACTGAGCTACAATGTGTGTTAACACGAGACTTGATGAACTCGATTCACAGCTAAGATCCAACATCACTAACTTGTGCGAACAGGGCTCGCCGAGCCTTTTCTCTTTTTTTCTTGTTGTATCTTATCGATGTATCATCCGCACAGGGTATATATGATAAGTTTAGCCATCAACGATTTATGTAAAAATACTCAATATGTCAGATCGATAACGTGATTTTGTGCGGATGATATTAGTACTTAAAAATTTCTAAATGACTAATAGAGAGACAATTTGACTGACAAATAGAGGCGCTGTTTCTTATAGCAATGTATCTGACATCTGTAAAACCTGTAGTCCAGTCGTTTAGCACATACATCTTTAACAGAAAACGTTTTTTTGCTATAGTGTCCACATAAATTTACAACCGAGACTGAAATACAGATTTGTAGCTTAGGTGAATACTCTTGATAGCATAATGTTGATCGACCTGTATGGTTTAAATGAGAGAAAGGTCAACAGAACAAGTTGGATCCCTCGCACATAAGTTATCAAGGGTAAATTACTGAAATAAACATAAATAATGATTCAAAGAGTAGAAATGAAAGGAAAAAAAGCAAAATGTTAGATAGTTTTGTGACGGACAGAGTTAATCGTATACAACGTTCAGTAGAGTAATAGATTCTAGAACGTGAGAAAAAAGGGCAGTTGGGAAACATAGCATAAAGTGTGATTTATATAGTTGAAACGAATCATAATCATAGAGTGACTGCTGGAAAAGAGAATAAATGAATCTCTAAACCCTTAGCATGCCATCTATTGCTTACTCTTATATTAGCCCAATTACCTACAATACGAAAAGTTCTATTAGGTTTATGATTGGTGTTTTCAACTCATCGTGGTGACCCACATAACATCATGGTGTTTACTGACCTGCAACGGGAAAGATGTTCCCTGCATTTCCTTACTGCACAACCCTCGTTTATCATGAGCCTTTGTATTTCAGAGAAATATTCTTCATTTATTCTTCTTGGAATATCTTTTTATGCCTCACTGGACTGCAAGCTTTATGATGATAATTTTGTAGGCCCGTCACGACTACTGAATTTCAAGTTAGTTTTCACTAAGAATCAGCACCAGATGGAGAGTCAATATTGTTGATATATATTTTTCTATGCTTGTTTATATTTTACCCACTTTCTAATATGTGAATACCTTCATAATAATACTGGAAATTATGCTGATTCGAAAAGGTTACTGAATACAATGACTTAGTAAATTGAAGTTTGTAACTTAGAGGTCTATTAGCCATACATTTTTATTTGACTTGGATTTCAAGAATGAGAGTGCTGTCCAGAAAACATCGCACTAAGCGGATAAGAAAGAGATTTGACAATAAAGTCTATTTCATGCCTATATTTCTATTTAGGCAACTTGAAAGGGAAAACTCAATTAAACTATAGTTTCTTCAGAAAAAGATTTAGGTAGAGGAACAAATATGTGTTTCCCATTTCATCCGGTAAAGCTTACGACTATAAAAGGTGGTAGCAACTAAGTAACGTTTACCTTTTTTTATGAACGTTTAAAGAATAAGGTACATTGACAGATATTAATGTCAATCATTTAGGGCTTTCACGGTTTGATTCGATTTATCATCATTCCGCAGTTGTTAAATCCATCAGGAATACTTAGATGCATTCTGGAAACTTTTGGCCGAAAATGTATTTTGTATGAGACATTATACAGACCATAAAGTGACAAGAAACCAAAAGTGTACCATTGTTCATGTCTAGAAACCAATGAAAAAGTCTATTTTAAAATATCAAAGATTATTTATATCTTTCCAGTGCTCCAAAAGTAGTTATTCGGTTCTAAGGTAACATTAACACGATGATAACCTGTGAAACCCTCTAAACAAAGGTAAGGGGAAGTAAAAAAAAATATGAATACAAAAACTGCAATTCATTTGTCTTTATGGGTTTAATAAAACAGAATATGAAAAATATGATGAGTTTGAATTATTAAAATCAACACAACAAATATTGTTAGCCAGATTATGCTATAACCATAAGGCTAACATAGAACAATAGCTATGTTCAAAAGTATTACAGTCCGCCTTATAGCACCCATGAAAAAATACCGGCGCAAAACACACTTGTTTCATTTATAAATGGTATCGAAAGTTATATACTACACAGTTTAATTCGAAGAAGAGGTAAGGACAGTCTAAGATTGAGGGTATAAACTATCTATTATCTTTGAAAAGTAACTTCGAGCTTTGATACGTGCTAATTTCATCGTTGGGGTTAGCAACCCATTATCAGCGTTAAATGCCTGATCTGTCAAATAAATGGCCTGAACCTGTCGAAAATAAAAGAATTTGGAAAACATGGATCAAAGAAATATGACTGTTGATTCATACAAAATGGGTAAGCTGTTGAATTGTTTATCATTTACGTAAAATAATTGAGAAATTAAGAATAAATTCAGATGTATCACCTATTATTTTACTCATAACAAAATGATCTAAAATCTACTGTTCAGAAAACCTACTTCGATAAACTTTTTTCGTACGACTACACAAGTAACCAACTACTGTTGTATTTGGAGACATTTAAAAATATAAATAAAAGTTTTTTGGGTCAATTTTCTTTTTTTGTATACACGTATTTTGGAAAATTGACCTACGTACAAATAAAACATAGAATCTCTGAAAGATGTGGAAGTAGTGTTATAAACGTCAGTGATCACACTAGATAGTCAACGATTTCATCAAATTAAGCGCTGCACTGGAGTCCACTTAAGCGCATAGACTGACAAGAAGTATGAAAAGATCTTGCGTGCCGTAAAGCATAATCAACGTAGAGCCTGGCAAAAGTATGCGTTATCCCATATTTTTCATACCAAATTAGCACAAACAAAATGAAATTAACATTCGCATTCGAATTCTTCATTCTGGTTTATCTACCGGTACGCATGAACGACATTAATCACATCCGATGATTATTTCGTACTAAAAATTTTATTATCGCGTTGTTCAAAGGAATAAGTTTAAGAATTAGTACAAAATCAAATGGTGATATGCAAATCTAGGATAAGTCAAAATTGTAAAAACAATCGACAGGAGTTAGATACGCTTACAAGTAAACAATGAAATTATGAATTTCTACTTGGTTTAGCAGACAGTAAATCCATATAAGTGAAAAATATTTCATTCGTTTCTCTTAATACAAGTTCACAGCTTCACCAACCAACTTGCTTAAAATTAAATTGTGTAGCAGAATTACTGTTTTACATTTACCGAAATATATGAAATAGAGTAAAATACTTGTTTTACGGCATATCTTTCGTAAAAGTTTGTAGCAAAACGTCATTCATACCTTTTCAAAACTTTTCAGCATATTTTCATCAGCGACAGCATTCATCCGTTCTAGGACAAATTTATTTACAACTTTGTTCTGGGAAAGTTCATGATCCGAAAGTTTTGAGCAATGTAGTACTCCTGAGTTGTTTAAACAAGAACGTAACTCGGTAAAATCGGGAACCACGATAGCAACAGGGTAATTTTGTTTACTATTACCGTCCACAAAAATTTGGCTTACTAATTTACAGCATTTATAAACCATTTCCACTCTTTCCGGTGCAACGTATTCACCTTGAGCCAATTTGAATATGCTTTTTAGACGGTCCACAATTTTCAACGAACCCTCCTAACGTGAAAATTAATAGATATATTAATGATTCCTCGTAGTTGGTTGAAGTATGGCAGAAAATAGAATATGATGGTCTAACAAGGTTGCAACATGATAACATTGTATTTAGATGTTATGATATCCCCTTATTACTTAGTATTTTTGGACATTACTTCACTCGACAAGTCTTCGAATTAGAACACGGTTACATAGAAACATAATTATATTCCAAATAAACAAGGTTGGATAGACGTAGGAATTACAATAGGAAACACGTTAGTGTATTTGCAATTTTTCATAAGGAGGTTCTAGAGTCTTCTCCAAGTATCCGTTAGTTCTGATTGGTCAAGGAATGACCAACAAGCGTGTCCCAATACAGTCCTGCACGAAATTTTCTTTAATCTAATCTATGAATTTTAGTTTATATCACTGAAAACTCTTTGGCACTACTCAGTCAATAGTTTCATCCATAGTCACAATCCAAACATATAATATTTTAAAATGAATTGAATTTTATATTTCTAAAAACTGTTCCGAGAATAAAGTTCGTTTAGCAAAACGTGAAAATTTAGTTTAGAATAATCGTCTTACAAAGGTGTTGTATTTAGATTACTGTGCATCGACATGCACTGTTCGAACAAAACTGATTTGTATCTCTAAACAGAACAATTAAACAAAACATATTAAATTAAATCGTTGAACTTACTAGTGTCCATTCACCGATATCCCCAGTATGTAACCATCCTTCATTGTCAATAAGTTCGGCGGATTTTTCTGGTTCTTTGTAATAGCCTTTTGTGCATCGTTTGCCTTTCACGCAGATCTACAAGTAATTTTGAAAATAACTTGTAGGTTTTTTAAGGAAGCGAGACTGAAAAAAATCCCGAAATATTTGTATTTGATTTCTATCTTGAATTGTTATCAGATGAAAAAATCCTGATATGATATCTCTCATGAGAATGGCTTTTTCTTACTACAAAACGTTGAACCATCAATCGGGTAATGATCTACAGTTTAAAATTGGATGAAGAAGCTGATTATTACTTCTAGGTTGTAATTAATTTTCTAGCCAGTGTCAGCCGGTGATAACCACCAACTATAGAACTGATCAATCTTTCTAAAAAGAAGCTACAAGATCCAAATAATGATAACAATATCTGTTATATCTATTTATAATAGGTTAGTTACATTATGAAGTTAAATAAAACATTCAAGTCCGATTGTTGGCTAGATTTGTCAAGTACTAATAAACGGATCTATATATTCACAAGGTCACAATCGTGAACGTATTTTTATTCTACATAAATGTAATCTAAGAAAATGTAGCCGTTGATAAGTTCATGAATGTTTTCTCATGATTTTGACTGCTAGCTATGAATAAAACCTATTCACTGTAATCAGTTATATACTATAGTCAAAGTTTACTGGAACCGAGATGTTAAAGGATGCATATTACATAATTTTAACCATTACTTGTATCTTACTTCTCCTCTTTGATCTCGCAGTGCATCTAAACCCAGATCTTTTACATCAACAAGTTTCACTTCTACACCATGTGCGACAGAACCTACGGTACCTAGACGGTACTCTCCAAGTAAAGTAATAGTTATACTCCCCATTGTTTCTGTTGATCCATACCCCTCAGCAAGCTTTTGTAGGAAAAATATGAAACAAACATTCGAATTGAAAGTTCATCATTAGATTGGAAAAAATAAGAGAAATCATGGAATAATTTCATTTAATTGATAATAAGCAATGAAATAAGCTAATAAAAAAAAATTAAAAACGTGTCCTTCAACCATGAGAAATAACATCTCATAAAGTCTCTGATAACTATTGCCGCTGAATTGTTTCTTTACAAAGAACTTCAATCTTAGTATTTTTATTCTGAAACCAGTTGGTATGTAGTTAGCTTCATTAATAATTTATAAACAAAGCACACTATATTTTAAATCAGCAGCCTCTTCTTCTAGAATGAATAAATCATTAAATAATTTGCTCACAATACAGTTGACAATAAAATGATTTTCAAACCTAATAAGATTTTCGCCACTTGTTTAAATTTATTGATGAAAATAGGAAAGTTTGAATATTGTTGTACACTTAAATCTTAAGTTAAGTTTAGGTAATCCCTTCCTTTTATTGTTTCGATATGATTAATTTGATTTCATGTGTTAAGTTAGGTCTGTAGGTGAATTTGGAAGTATTTTGAACGTTATAGCTTTTTTCTTTCCTCATGGAGGTAAATGCATGAAAATGGTTGGTTAAGTGAGTGTCAGCTAAAGTAATAGAAGTTCCTATTTGTACTGAAGACTGGTAATCAATGAGTAAATTATTACAAAAATGTAAATTATCGCCAATAAAAATGTTCCAGTAATTGCATACATATATACATGAGCGATTGCATTTTTGGGAAGCATTCCAACAACAGAGAGAACAGAAACTAGCTTACCAAGCCAAATGCAGCATGTACAAACTTTGATATCTCCGTTGGTAATGGAGCGCCTCCGCTGACAACACAATATACACGTCCGCCTAATAACTTCCTAAGTTTCTTAAAGCATAACGTATCCAAGATACTATTATGATAGAATTTTCCACTAAAATGAACAGAAATAATAAATTACTCGTTAAAGGTTTAATATAGTAAAATCTTTATTTTGAATTTGTTATTAAAAAAGCATCTATATAAACTAGATAAAAAAGTTCAGCTGCTTCTACGTTTCAATTACTACATTTTTGTCAAACGAAGCTAGTATCTACGCAGGTAATTCGCTGACCTAAAACAGTGGCAATAGTCTTTAATACAATTAGCAGAGCTATGTCTTATTCAAAAGACCTACATATTCATTCATTTTTGGCCACTTTAATAATTGTATTTATCTGATAAGTCCAAAAAAGGCTTCTTAGTTAAACTTATATTGAATGTTTCATCTAGTTTAACATGCGATTCTCAACGATTTCAATAAAACAGAAAACTTTATATACTAAATGACGGGATGCAAACCTTTAGGCATAAACTAATGTTTAGATTTGAGTGATTTATGGCAGACTTATCGTAAACCAGCCAAACCGATGTGACCTATAAAAACAAAGGGATTTGGAGGACTAAGACTGAAATTTAGTTGTATTGGAGAAAATTCACGGGTTCTTGAGTTTTAATAGTCCTTGAAAATTTTCGTTCTTCCATTACATTTCTTTGCTTCGTAATACAGATCCAATGCATAGTTCCTAAATAAGATTGATACAATTTCGACTCCTTTGTTTGTGTCTTAGTTAATCAGAAATCAGTTAATTTATGTCCAATTTTTTTATACACTAAACAGAAAAATCTCATACTACTTATCGCTTTTGCTTCGAGTGTTTCCAAATGTAGTTAATCGTTGTATTTCGAACCAATACCATATAAGAACTATTTCGTTTGGCTCTATGCTTTAGCGTCTCAAATCACTCAGTGTGCCTTGATACATACTGGACTGTGAAAAATGCTACGGATTCTTTTTTAACGCTATGAAATGTTAGTCAGTGAAGTTTTAAAGTAAAACCGGATACCGTTTTTGTTCAACCATTTTAATCTTCACAATCCGATTGTAAAGTTGTCTTTTGATTTTGGAATCATCCAATGATTTCTGATATTTAGTGTAAATACTAGAAAGTATTCGTGGAACTGCTGTTATCACACCTGGTTTCAAAGCTTGTGCGTCTACCACCAAATTATCAATAGAATCAGTTAGAAATCCCAGACGGGCTCCCATCATAATATAATAGGACTACAAGAAAGTGAGACAATCGTTCGAGAAGAAAAATATGTCGATAAAATTGCTCAATGAAACGATAAAAAAGTAAAGATTGTAAACAAAGTAAACCAGTGATTTGCCCCAACATATGTTTTGTTCCAAAACTTTAAATAATTGTTTTAAAATCTACAGAAAATTACTAAAACATACTTAAAGAAGCATTAGTTCTTGTCGTAAGAGAGTTGCTTTCAAGCTGTATGAGATGATTGTAGTCGGGATTACTCCACTTAAAAAAGGCGTCATTGATTATTAGAAAATTAATATTGACTCACAATATTCGAATTTAAAGAAAACTGTTTAGGCCCAACAAACAAGAATAGTCTTAAATTATCAAGCACATGCTATATCAAAGATTCACTTAGCATAGTGGCCATAAAATCCTTTCTGTTATATGAAAACTTATCTTTTAATTCGACAAACAGTATCTGTAGTTTTGTTTACTTTATAGTTTACATCACAGGAAGGTATCACCTGAATAATCAATGACAACTAAGAATCACTGGATGGACGAGTTCAAAATTACTTAGAAATGTGAACCTATGACCTCATAAGAGGGTTAACTAATCGCCACCATTTCTTGCTTTGGAAATCAGCATGCATGACGTTTCTCTTCACAAAAAAACTCTAGCGGTTTACCTGTGAAAAAGTTTCTCAAATTTAGCCTAACATACGAAAATTCCTATTAATAGTAGATTGTTTAGCTTTACTGATGGTTGTGAAGATACAGTTCTGAACAAAATTATCAAGATATTCAATTTCCATCAGTTCATTTGTTGATTTTTTTTTATACAGTTCGTAGGAAGAAAAAATTTATAATTACGACATACAATTGATGTACTTGACCGTTAATATACAAAAACGCATAATAATAATGTCTGCAGTTAACGAAGCGTAAATAAGATAGCTTACCGAGAGTATTTGTTCCATCATATGCGCCAATGGGAGATATGAAAGATGACTTGAATTGGATTTGATGAGCTAGGAGAAACAACAAAACGAACAGTCATCCATTAAATAAATATCAAACCATATAAGTTAACTCGTACCTAAATAGTACGAAAATTTTAGACAAAAATAAAAACGCTCGTCACGTTTCTTTTTAAGGTTGTAAAGGCTTCAAAAAATACGAAGGTAGTCTCTTACATAAAAGTTTAATGGTCCCAGCTGTCAGTGATATAAATCTAATGTAAAAAATAGGAGTAAAAGATAACGATTTAGATTGAGACAATAGAAATATGTTGCTGTATGGTTACAATAAATTACGTTCACCGTTAAGATATATTTTTTACCTATATAAGGATTGGAAAATTTATGTGATACATGTTCGCTCTTGAACTCCAATGAAGCATAAATGGTAAAGGTTTACCTTGTTTTCTGAAGCTTCTAGTATGGAAAATACAGCATCCACAATCTGTTCATGGTTAACCATAACTCCTTTAGGTAATCCTACACACGACAATAAGTTGACATAATGTTAGTTTGCAAATTACAAAAAATAAGTGATAAAATTACTTCTATCAAATAACTAGAATAAAAAGATTATTTTACCAAACCTAATAAATATATATCTACTACAAATAATGCTTTCATCAACTTTTAAAACCACCAGCCGAAGAAATAAAAGGAAACTTGACTCTTAACATATTAGCTTCACATGTTCCTTAGAACATGGTTTGTACGAGCTGATTTATTCTTACTCAACATGTCAGCGGTCATTAACATTTACAGATGACAAAGTTGTTACAATTCGATCCCGTGTAATAGATGTCTGTGCGTTTCTGGAATAAGTGGTTGTGTTTTTATTTTTCATACGTAATCTGGCTTTCAATTTGGAACATATTTTGCGTTTAAACTTTTATTTGATCTGAGCTGAAGTACGCTGGCTGAAGAGTTACAGGAAAAGGAAGGAATAATGATTCTTCATATTATGTGGCAATAATGTAGGACATTAGTAGAACAGAAATTTATCTGTAACGAGTTTCCTAATTCGTTATCACTGTAGACTAAATTATAACTCATATGTCAGTATACAAACGAAGATCTGTGGTTAGCGAAATTATCATATAAGTATTTCTTTAGTAATCAACGGAGGAACAAAGAAAAAAGGTTATGTTCTAGTTGGAAAAATTAATAAATTAGTATTTGAAATACACCCAAACAGCACGAATGCTGAAGTGAAACTAACGCTTACCGGTGCTTCCACTAGTATAGCAAACCATGTAGAGGTCAGATGGCAATGGATCCTTTAAAATAAAGAATTACTTATGAAACCCTTTCAATACGAAAACTTAGTTTGAGCAAAAACAGCCTAATCAGTGACTGGCAAGAGACAAAATATTGAAAGGGATATTATAATCACATAAATTATGTATTTACGCTGTTTATATTAAGACTGAATAATCCGGAATAACACAAACAGATATACCCAGTGTATTAGTCAGTTAAACCAATGAGTTGCTGAGCAGGTTGGAATCAGTTTGTTGTAGGTGTTTAAAATCCGTCAATCAGTTTCACAAATATATTCATAATCATATGGAACTGAAACCTTTATCAGATAATACGATAGATGATAAGACTAAATGATATGAGGTAACTTTTAGTATTCATAACTTTCATGTAAACGATATTTGAAAGCAAATGCTTTGACAAAATAACATTTTCTATGAATCTCTCTCAGAATATTTGAAATCGATTGAAAAGCACTAGAACCAATCAGTTATACTAATAAAGTAAAAATGAGCGATTACAACAAGCAGACTTAAACGATAAAATGTGTTAGTTTCAAAAGATTTATAGATATGACATAATTCTCAATAAAACTTTTTGAGTAAAACTGTTTATTGTTGAATTGGTATTGGTATGAGCAGTGAAGATACAGATCGATAAAATCAACTATTTGAAAGATTTATAGACAAAAGACATTTATTAATCCTTCGTCGCTTTTCTCACAGCCCATTATATAACTTCAGGCTCATGCATGCCTTCATAAAAATTAATTTCATTTACCCAATCAACCTTAATAACAGGATTTTATATTGCTATAAATTTTCAAATAATTTTAATCTGAGTTTTTACGTATTTTTCGGTGAAATCATGATCACGATGAAAAACAAAAAATATACAAAGTTGAGTTAGTGTTTTACTTTTTCATTAAAACAAAGTATCAAGATATGTAGGTCTATTTGCATTCTAAGTGAGAAATGAATAAGACAAAAGAAATTAGGCTAATTTTTCAGCCCCCACTTAGAAATAAATTTCTTAATCAAAACGAAGTTATACAAAATTTGTTAAATAAAACTAGTTGACGTGCAAGCAGACAAAAATCAATATTTGGAAATTCATATTCTGAATCCAAATTAAGAAAAGTAGTTTGGATTGGTAAATTATACTGCAATTTATGGTATTTTTTAACTCAACAAAATCCACAGAATACTGTACAAGTACTAAACGCAGCGAATGCATCCAATTTTCGACTACAGTTTATGATAGGTGGGATAGTGGCACACACTTGAAATGAATGAGTTAAGAAAATATGAAAACTCACTTTCTTTGGTAAAAGTTTATTCATTCCCAGTTCCTGAAACATTATATGACGATAGAGTGTTGATAAAATGATCCTAGTTTCGGCAAGATCTATATTTTTCAACTACAATGTTGGTTGTTTATACTAAAGGCAACCTTTGGATAATGAACGCATATAGTCATGAACATAACTTCTGAAGCAAAATAATGCAAAAATCTAGGTGATTATTCTGTAATTTGATTGTTAATTAAGGGGTATGATTAGTTTTAACAAAAATCGTACATTTTGCATGGTCAACATGAAGACCAATAAAATTTGAAGTGGTATGAATGAAATTGATATCACGTGGAGTAAAAGTTATAAAAATTGAAAAATTCTTGAACAAATTCAATTTGTTTTGAGGCGTGAATATCATCTCAAGTGACAGCTAGGAATTTATTTTCATTTTATAAGTGGTTGTTCAATGGAAGTTTTAGTAGTTTATCTTGACATTAACCACTTATGAGAGGTGTTTCAAGCGACCATTAAAGTTTTGAACAACCGAATGATTTTGATATAAGCAAATGAAGCACTTGAAGACTACTGAGCAATTTTAGAGTCTTCGCTAATGAACTCCTCGATATTATAGTGGTCAAGATAATAAACCATGAAGAAAAATCAGAAATCACACTGTTATTAAGTTTATAGGTGAGAACCAAGTTATCGGCATAGATTACTTACATCAAACTGGATAATTTATCTCATCGCCATATGTGTTAACTTGAATAAGTGAGAGCAAAAAGGACTAACTGTATGAGCATATTTTCATAAAACTAGATTTCTTTGTTAGAAACGTAGTTATCGTTAAGGTGTTTCTTTTTCCGATTTCTTTATTGATTAATACGGTCAAAAACGGTATTATATATATAAAGGGTGCATCTTGCGCACCGATTCGATCATTTTTGCATTAAAATAAAACGTAAATGTAAGGTCAGAAAACAAGACAACAGGAATCAGATTTTCAAGATTAGGAAAGGATCCGAAGTAATGGTAACACTTAATTTAGAAAGTTTACACCTTTCTTCAAACATAATTCCACTTCATAAGTCATTGGATATTAAGTTAGATAGTGAATTGAGTAGCAAAAATTATACATGTGAAAAGGTTTAAAAAACAAGACCAGAAGTAAAACTCATTCTAGTAAGAATTCATAATATCTTTAAATCAAATCTTAACTAGTAATAAGTTCAAACTATTCTATGGATTTTTCTCCTTGTCATGAGTAATTTGTGCAAGTAATGAGGTTATTGAACAGGGATATTTTAACTTTTATGGGTAGAATACGAATTAGATAGATAAAGGTGTAGAAAGTGAGAGAAAAGTTCAACAAAACGTTAATTTTTGACATTTATATGTCTACTCGTTAAAGGAGTATTTTTTAATGTACTTACCAGGAAATCCTCAAACAAGTACACAGAGACTTTTGAGCCGTGATGAGACTTAACTTCTTCAACTTTAACATCATATGAAACAATGATTAAATATTCAAGAGAAGATTCGAACTTGTCCAGCAGATGAAGAGCTTCAGTTCCTGAATTACACAGCATACAATTCACTTGTGCTAAAATCAAATTGTAATAAGACTGATCACTAATGATAGAATTTTTCATGTTCTTTTTTGTCTACAATAGTGACTTAACGGCATATCAAAATAGAAACATATGTGTAGGAAATTTCAGTTAACATTAATTTAAATAAGCATGAAGATTTCAAAATTACGTATCACGTCCTTAAAAACAATATTTATTTGATGTTTTATTTCGTACTTAATGTATACCAAGTATTTTATTTCCAGAAGTTACTAGGATCAGTGTTTAAAATTAGTAAGCTAGCAAATAGTGTAAAGTGTAACACGGTACTCAATTAGAAATGTTTCCTCCGAAAATTAATAAAGATTATAATATCGAACTGATGATTATTAGATTATTGTTATATATTAAAAACAGCTGAACATGTAGCCGATGCCTAAGTAACTCTATGTTATTTGATCATCCTTTAATCCTGCTGAATATTATCATAGTCCTTTTAACTTTTATAGTGATCTTGTGACATAGAAAAGCTTATCTAAAACTTAATCTCATACAGATACATAATATTTACACAGATTGAAATCATGAGTCAGTTGAAGCTAGACCACCATGGAAAACCTGGAAGCACTGGACAGCCGTTTCGTCCTAGTATGGGACTCCTCATCAGCGCGCATCCACGACCCCGCACCCCTTCTGGTAATAATCATCTGCTCACTAGTGACTGACTTCAAGAGATACTCCGGGAGTTCTAGTGGGAAGCCGTTACCAGTGGAGTTCAACCAGGTCTGTTGTGAGATATCAGCTCACTGAAGACAATGGTGTACGGTGGCGCAACTTCGTGGATTGGTTGGAGTTAGACATTAACACCGTTGGATGCCGGCTCAGTGGTCTAATGGTTAAGTGGTCGCGCGCGAAGCTAGTAGGTCCTGGTTTCGAATCCCGCGGGGTGCGGGATCGTGGATGCGCACTGCTGAGGAGTCCCATACTAGGACGAAACAGCTGTCCAGTGCTTCCACATTTTCCATGGTGGTCTAGCTTCAACTGACTCATGATCTCAATCTGTGAAAATTTCTAAAATCTCCACAAACCCCTTCTGATAACATAATATTTAGTATAGAAAAAATATTGTCAAATAAAAAGTGAGAATTAACTCAGTGAAATGAAAAAACTCACTTTGAGATAAAATATGTTGTATTGCTTCATTACCAAATGTAGGATAGATGGGCACAATAGTATAACCATATGCGGCGCATGCATGTTGCATAATAACCCACTGGATAATAGAAGGAATAATGATCATAACAAAATATGTAATTAGTAAACAATCTATTTGAATCTTTATGGAACCAAATAACCGATTCGGGTTTTTGTTGTGCACAAAAATATCACTTCCAGAACACTTTATGCTCATTGGGTATCGTTACGTTCAGTCTAGAACATTCGAAGTTTAGACAAACTATTAAAAAACCTCATACACTTGATCTAAATTAAATACACTTCTATAAAATACACACAAAAGCCTTGACAATGTTTTTCCTTTATCAAGTTCAAACATAAAGAAATACAACAATATAATAGCGTTCAAACACGGAGATCACATGCTTGATGTATTGCATGTTTTGATTTTAAAAATTCCTGCTAGGTTTAATGCTGTACTGACATAGAAACTGAATGTATAACATAAAACATCCCAAAATAGCCCAATCAATTCAACTGCCAAACCTTTAAAAGTCATATGATAAGTTACCTTTAAGACAAAGTGATGAAGAACCAGTTCGGATAACTGCAAAAGCATTGCTAATCACTTGAATGTTCTCTGCCATACCACTCAAAGACTTCACTTTACTTTGTTTCAATAATTAATGAATGAACTGTTAATGAAAGTACTTTGTTCACTAGACTTCCCTAGTTTTTCTCAGATTATCCGTCCTATAAGGTTATAAACACTAGTGTTCTGCCTAATTCCAGAGAATAATTGAGTAATTTTGTTAGAAAGCAACATTTATAATGGTGATAGATTCTGGAAATGGTTACCGACTATATGCTGATTTAATAGCATTCCCATATTAATCTACAAGAAAAACACCATAAGCACACGAATAAGATCACTTCTATTTTATATTATCATTAGAAGTGAGAACTAGCTTGGCATCAAAACTTATAAAGTGACCAATTTTTTTCCTCTTTATTATCAACTGACACTTATTCATTAAAAATAGAATTTTTGTTGATCATAAAAGACTAGTAGGCATATTGGGCACTACAATTTAGATGATTATTAGGAAATGTTTAGGAATCATGACCATAACTCCAATGGTTAAAGTATTATTTATTTGGAACTGTGTTTGAGTGAAAAAAAGAGGACAAGATTTGGGATATCGATGTCGAGGAACAAATTTGATATCAGTTACATGCACTTTGTGCACCAAAATCTTCTATCAATTGATATATGAATCGACAGATGAGGAAAAACCACAGGATGACATATGCACAGAATAAATGCACTATATATATCCGACTAATCAGCTTAAAAGAACGAGACTCGTGATTTATTGTACAGCATCAAAATTTCGAAATTCACAAATTATCAGGTACATCTCAATTTCACTAATGACCTATCATAATTCAGTAATAAATTTCTATCAGTATCCGGGATAAAAGCTTTAACAACCAGCCAGTCGCTAGTTTAAAATCAAACAGCAATTATAATCACCTCCGGTGAGTTCGGTCCATAGATTCCCACAAAGTTTTCAGCATTACGTCTTTGTCTCACAGTTTTCACAAGAGCTGTCCCAATAGCTTTTATTTTTTTATCTACCTGAAAAACATAAGCATAATCCAAATTCACTTACCTCATTGTAAATGAGCCATGAGTATTTATTTTTGGAAGGGAGTCGTATTCTTAGACATGGATAAAACCCTGTAAGTGAGCATTTCGAAATCATATTAAAAAGGGATATCATAGAAATTCAAGCCTACGGAATTTTTCAATGTAATAACAATAATATAGCGTATGAAAATATTTTTGGAAGGCTATAAATAAAGTTTATGAAAATACATAGACTGATAAATGCTAAGCAATGAAAATGAATTTAAGAAATTCAATATTTTACTTGTCGTCATTTACTGTTAGGTTTGACTGTGTTGAGGAAATTTTGGCTGAAAATGTGGGTCTTAGTTAAACCTATTAGGCTTGTGCTTCCTCATCTGAGGTGAAGGAATTTGGTGTGATTTTATTTTCAAGTAGAACTTGGATTTCAGATACAGATATTGACTAACTTAGTGGAAATTTCAAATCCGAAGAAATTAGACACGAAATAGCAAAAAAGGTAATAGTCAGGGAACAGATACGATGTCCAAGATTTGCGGGAGAATAATAATAAAATGGAGCAACGTCACCCTTATCTTCTTTCAAGCTACTTGTCCAGGGTCTTACGACGCTCAACTAGAAAGCCTATATTCTACAAGAAGTGAAGGACTGCAATCAGTTACTCCTAACGATTATTGCTATTTTAAAAAATATTCGAAGTAAGAATAAAGAAAATTCCTCATGTACAATATTGAGGACTAGTTTATATATATATATGAACAATTGGCAGACATCTTTCGTTCCAAGATTCTCTGAATGATTTCTAGAAAGCTGATTAGAGATTCATAACTAAACAGTCTTGCTACTGTGTATCAATAACAAAACAGTGATAAGGTTTTAGTACGTTATGATTGCAATAAATATATTTTCCTAGTTAAAACTCTTTAGGAACAAACGATAATCAACATGTAGTTGAATAAGTGGATTTACTTGAAGTATTTAAGCCATATTCAAAAACATCTTTCATTGTTTTCACTGGAATTTTGTCCACGAACTTCGAAACAAATGGGGATTTTCGTGCACCAGTCTAAATAGTATGAAAAATTTGGGTGGATTGTTTATTGTTTGAAAGACCTCTAACTGAAAAAAAGGTTTTTGTAATCAGTAGACAAAAGATAGCAATAAAAATTATGTTCTTTATTCGCTGATTGATGTAGCAAATAGATATTTTAAGGGCTTTAAAACGAATAGGGAATTCGGGATTTTTTCGGACAACGTAGTCTATAACGTATATAATATTCAATAAAGCCATTAATAATAATGATAATAATAATAGTCATGAATTGGTCCAAATTAGAAGCTTTAGTTTATGTAGTACGAAAACTACACATGTTTAAAACACTTGATAAGTAAGATACGTGTTTTACAGGAGAAAAAAATTAAAAATCGAAATTAACTTATGATTTATGTCGGTTACAAGGTTTCGGTAAATGCAGTAGGCAAATTGAGGATGAACCGGCAAATTATGACTCCAAATAGGGTTATTAAACTTATTCCTTACATTTCAATTTTATTACGAAATCACCGAACTCGCATTCTTCGTGTAGTTTGCCAAAATAATCGTGTACCTGCTTTGAAAATCATTTATTTTACCAGAATGTAGTATTTTTACTAAATGGTGATTCCTTTGTACTTGATTGCGCGCTTAATACGAATTCCAAGTCTAATATGTCTGGCTGTGCTCATCTTGTTCCACCTACCTTAAATTGCTGTATTCAGACAATTCTTAGATGGTACATTAATTCAAATACTTTTAATTAACATACAACATGTTTTTAGGTCTCTAAGTTCTCCAAATAAGACTTTATTTGTTCAACCAAGAATTAAGAAACTTCCTTTCACAAAACACGTAAAAGATGTGCAAATAGGTGAACCTATACGACAAACAACTATAAAAAGTCAACAATGTAGAAATATGTGCACGTGTTTGTCAGTTTGCACAGCACATCACCAGCAAAAAGGATCATGAATGAAGAAAAACATTGATGCAAGAGAAACTAAGTTTGGATGGGAAATAAACAGCTATCTAATGATAGGACGTTTAGAACTTTAATTAGGAAAATAGATTAACTGAAAATAAAGTTCATAAAAATTTCAAATAAGTTCGCCGAGGTCTAAACATTCAGGCAACTTTGTCCATTTAATTTATCTAAGAATAAAGGCATCTGTCTTGAGATGATGAGTAAGATTTGCTGTTCAGATAGACAATTTTTGTGGAGTTTCGCCCTCTTAGCTGGATAGCTTAATCTTGAAGCTTAAATTATTTTCTGAACAATACCATAGGCACGAACTTCACCAAATCAACTGCCTACAAACTTTATTCAGAACGCAGGAATATACCGCAGGATATTACAGTGAGGAAAAATGAGGGAAAGAACAGCTATTTACTCAGCTTCGCCAAAAAATATAAATCCAACTAACCAGCAGAAATGAAACCAAAGATGAAAATCAAAAAATGAATGATTCTACCAAATTTAGAAGACAAATAACGGGATTATTCAAGCCATTTGGAACAAATCTAACGCATAAATCGGCAAAATCTCTTTGGTCGATATTATTCAAACCAAGGGATAAAATGACGAAAGAAAACCGAACATCATCCACAATAAACTGTTGCAAACTCTACATTCGACAAAGTGGACGCCATCTTCATTTTTACATGCATGAACATCATTTAGTGGTTAAAAGCCAGGAAAGATCTTGGCTTATATCAAAGCATATGGAGAATTGTAAACGCACATTCGACTGGAGAAATGTTGGAAACTTTGGTGGAAGGAATACTACAAACACTCGGGAATTGTTAAAAGCTTGTCACTTAAGTCAATCAGCAGTCAACAAATAGATCGAAATCAATTCAATCTATCAGAAGATTCATGGATAAATATAAGATCAGGAATAAGATCAGAAAGCGATACAGTCCAAATAAAAAAGCAGTTAATGACAGGTTAAAGATCAATAATAAGCAATCAAATCGAGGTCAACAGGACAAGCTCTTAGTCAAATAAGGGGAAAATTCAAATACACCACTCGGTTATAGATTTTATTTGACATGTGTTGTGATTACCAGTAACAGTTTTCATTTTTTGTTAACTTTGCTCCTTCTTTTGTTCAATCTAACATCAAACTAAAATGTAATAATTTACTGTCGTATGTTTTGGGCAGCATATGTGTCATACCAAAGAATTTTAGGTGACGTTATACTGAATTACGGTTCAAAAGCTTAAACATGTACCTTTTAACCACCAAACATATCGGTCTTTATTAACTATGACACCCTTATATGTTTAAACTGCTTAGTAATAAAACAGAGTTTTAAGGGAATATTCGATTTATTTTTGAGTTAGTTGGTCCTTCACATGAATGGGAGGCAAAACTACGACATGGACTCAGATAACCTAAACCGTAAAGGCAGGTGAACACCGGGTGGTTGAATTAACTGTCTGTCATTAGAGACTTCATGACGGGAGTCGAGAATATTCTTTGTAGGATGGACCCAGTAATTCATTATATTTCTGTTAGTCCTAGAGTTGATACGATTTTAGATATTTCACTTTGCTTGTTTCAACCGTGTTGCTGATTATTTTCAGTTTCCAACTGTTGAATTTTATTCTTTAACATAATGATAATTGTAGCGCTTCAGGCTCAAAAACGTGTGTCGTATTGCATGCCACTTAATTTTACCAACAAGAAAGCATTTGACATATATTACCTTTTCACAATATGCCTTATATCTTTTAGGACACCCTAGTATGAATAGTGAGAGAAATGAGTAGTTATGTGACCATCAACTTACTTTTGGATCACATATTACTGACTGCTGATTTAGATGTACACTGACGAGATTTTCTGGTGCATTTGGCTTAAAAAGTTTCAAATAGGCTTTTGGGAAGCTTGATCTATTTTCTTTAAAAGTAGAAACGATAAGAAGATACAACAAAGTAGTGAATTCGCAGTTTAAAAGCTTAGTTCAATCAACAACGATAATATTTGACCAGATAGTCATTTATCAAAAGACAATTATTCATTTTAGGTAGCGTACGTCTAAGCAACATCGAAAACTATCAAAATTTAAAGCATTTATGAAACAGTATGGTTCTAAAGGTGGAACTTACGCTTCTAGGACGATTTTAAAATTAGTTTTGAAGAGACCATAAATAAAACACGCTTGAAACATGTTTTAACAAGATCACAGTAATGAAAAGTAATCTAAGAGATTCATTTATGCCTTCCTACGCGAGTCTTCTTAGCTTACTATAGTTAAAAAAACACCTTCACACTACATTTTAACAAAACAGTTGACAACATTTAAAATAAGTGTTCTTTAAAGGTTAAGAAATCGAAAAACCACTAGAGGTTCAAATTTTATTTTAAAAAAGTGTACAGTGCCACAGTGACGTTCGTTCCCTTCAAAACGTAACATAAGCTAAGCATCTTAAAGTATTGGTTCCAAAATATTGAGATAGATAAAAAATGGAACTTATTTTGGAAAGCAAAACACTGATGGCAAGATCATCTACAGAAAATTACTAATATCAAACTAAAAAATCAGTTACATGGAAAGTATTTTGAAACAGCTTAAGATACAAAATCAGTGACATATCTAACTCACAGCCCACATTAATATAACACTTATTCGCATTACGAATAGTCGGAATTTGATGCGAAAAACAAGTGAAATAAGTAACTCATTTAGTACAGAAGTATATGATAAGCTTCGAACAACAAATTACACAGACTGATGAGAATACTGTAGCACCAACATCAAAATGAATGTCCTACATTAAACTCAGCATTTGTGAATAATCAAAATCAAGAGGAAAAACCATATTCTATGACTTTGTATAGAATATTGGAGCATGGAGAAACAGACACGGTAACAATAGTAATATCTTATTACAAGCGAAGTGAAGTTCTGTAATATGCACTAGTCAAACCGATATTAATTTAAACTGCTGCACAATAAATTGAATGCGCTCACGTTAAGTGAAATATCATAATGATTTAGCAATCTAAAGCAGCAACACTCACAAAATTATAAAGATAACCTTGTCGCTCAGTGTTCTTCACAATAACCCGAAATCCATACTAAATGAAACTCGAAGATCGAGGCAAGCTATTAATAACTTACATCTGAGAGTTTTAGAATACAATAATGATAAAATAGGGTTAAAAGTTGATATGAACCCTCTGGATGAGTGGACGATTTGGTGGTCATTGAGGACAAGTAATAGCACAAGTACTGTAATGCACATCGTTTGCATAATTACATCGGAAATCAAATCCATTTACATAACATTGGTAACTGTAAGGATTTACGAGTCACAGTAAACGGTGGTCTCAAATTTAAGGGTGATAACAAAGCAGCAGGTGCTTAAGACTTGCGGATTTTTTGGGGACCTTTCAAAGCTATTTTGAAGACTATACAGGAATACCTGTTATATCTTGTCGCCCACCACGTTCAGAATACGAAAGTAAAGCGAGGAATTCTAGTATGAAATGTGAAACGTACGTGTTGGAATGAGCTCAGAGGGTTGTAAATACAAGGATAACCTAAAATACCTCAGCTTTTCTCACCGATCCTGTTGCTAAGACATCATATGTATGGAAACTATTTAGAAGTGGTGTACACCAAAGTAACATCTTAGGTCCACAATTTCTTCTCTGAGTCAATGGATTACCAAAACTGCTTAAGCTACCGACATTGTTGTCCATAGATGGTGTCAAAGTTTGGAGAACACGTAATGAGACTGATAATCGTAATCTCCTAACAAATTTATACGGATTAGTTAAATGATTCCGAATTTTAGGTTTCGAGACGAACGATGGAAATAGTTCACTAATCCACACTGGACACGGCAATGGTTACCAGCATAAGGGTCAACGGTGAGTAGCTTCCACGTGTGCAGAAACAAGAAGATCTGGGAGTAATAGTTAGTTATGACTTGGAAACAACTGCGCACTACTATTCAACAGCTTTCAGACTTTTGAGAGTAATCGTTGTTTTGCTGAACATTCAACCATTTTGACTAATATATGCTTCAGGTATTGTGCTACACCCACGGGAGACCCTACATTGAATTTCGCATACAAGCAGAAAGTTCACGTTATATTGCGGATGCGAACATACCCGAGTGTTCAGTGTGCAGAAACAAGTTTTTTCCTTCTACTCTCTGCAAAAATAATCATGTTGGAGGCCACCGCAATAAGGTTCTAAAACCAAGCTTCGGTTAGGGTTCCGTTTTTCCCATCCAGTGGTCGGCGACTGGTACCAGTTTCACCAGTGGGCGCTTTTAAGAAGAAATCAGATCTTCAGTGAAAAATAAACTCAAGAGGTTGTCATAGTCGAGCGGGCTATCATTCCTATTAATAACGACCGAAACCAAGATCAAATCCTACACACTATAAATACATTAAGGTTAGTTTTTCATACCAAACTATAAAATACGAACTATTTACTGGAGTATGTAGTATAATCACTCTCCGTTACTACTTCGAAAATGACAGCAAATCTAAGCAATACCATGAATTGGGAGGATTATTGTGTTCTATTGCATGTTGAATATTACATACGATCTATTTTTGCGACTAACAAATCAAAGGTTGAACAGTGAATGGATTAAGGGATAAAAGATTACCAGGTACTCTTTTTTCGAAATTGGTGAGTGATATTTAAAGATATCATTTGTGTTAATCTTTAAATTTTAGTTGTGATGAATCTTTGAATGTAACTCTACTTAGTGTGAGTAGTACAGGTGTAAAACGACATGAAATATAACCATATCAGCAGCGATATCATAAAAACTACAACGTATTTCTTTGTTCCTCAAAAATATAAAATGCACTTCTCAAAGTACTTAATTCTGTTATGTACTATTTTGAACAAGATTAATAAACAGTATACATCCAAACAACCTAAGACGAAGGAACAAAAGCAAAAATCAGTGAATAAAGAAAACCTTCCGTCAGAAAATAAAGAATAAAAATCAAGAAGTCCATTAAGATTTTACTGTGTTTTTCATGGGGAAATCGCCCGAAATTCTCCCTGTTTGTCGTTTTAAGTTCGTAATCTCGTCATATGCCCACTTTTCCGCTAAAATATAGATTATTTGTCCCATTTTTACATTGAGAGAAACCTTACTCCAACATTTAATAAAATTCTCACTACGTAAGAAGGTCAAGTAAATCAAATTAAACCCCATTATTTTTAGTTCAGTATGAAACAGTGGTGTCCTTACCTTCGACGCCCAGAGAGGGATACTAGAAATGGAATGACGTAGGCTTCAGGGATCCCGTCCTTACTTCACAAATCTGAGTCTGACATATATTACAACAAATGTTCCATATACGTCATCAGTCTTCACAAAACTTAGAACCAGTTTTCAAGTCTTAATTACTTATTAACTATGAAATTGACAACCGGATCACTGTATTTCTATGTAAATCAAAAATCTTTTGTTTGAACCGCTTAAGACTGTTTGAAAAATAATTGACTTACCAGACATTCTCGAAATAATAACGTCTGTGGATTGAAAGTATTATTTGAATAAGCAATGACTATCTTTCATCAAAGTACTGTCTTCTCAAGTGAAAACCACGCTTTTTTATAGTGGCAAGTGTTCAACCCGAAATCTAATTAGCTAGTTTGTCTGCTCGTTGTTTATGGCCTTCAACCCTACTTCCTCAAGTTCCAATATATAGTAAAAGTCAAATTATCTTATTAGCTGCGAGTAGAATGTAAAGCTTGGAGCATTTATTTAGCCGCAATTAGTAGATAGTACTCTTACATTCTAGTCCGTCACGCTATGTCAATAATATTCGAGAGTACTCCTCAAGTTTTCACTTATATATTTGGATCACGGAAGATCATTCTGAGCGTCTTATATATGTATCATTCCAAAGCTAATCTTTACCTTACATTTATTTAATCAAATAATCTCAAATCATTATGGTCGTGTCTTTCTTCCTTACCTTTGCTTTACTGCTTCGTTCTAGATTTTGTGCACTATTATTACTTGTGATTAACTGGACACACATTACCACATTACGTTTGATTTAAGCATATTTCATATAAAGCCCTTCTCATGCATTCCGACCTATTTACTGCATTACGATGACTGCGTATATCATTCTTATATGGCTGGTAGTAATTCTACAACTGTATAGATATGATGGGGCTTGAAAATTTAATAGACGTACACTTCTCCGAGTAGTAGTCCAAAGATAAACCCTGGTAGACTAATGATCGATCAGCAGCCCACTGAAAATATGACTTAATCTATTCACAGAAAACCCTAGGAATCATTTTTCAATATCTTCTAAAAGAAGTGGCTTCAAGTAAGCTGAATGAATAATTTGTCATTTAGAGCATGTCCTCTGTGTGTATATCACTTGGGCTTTCATGACGTTATATACCATCCTGTTTGTACAAATTGTATGTGTCAATCATAGACATAATTTCCACCTTCTAATTTGTAAAGTGTACACATATCGTTTGCATGTATTCTATAAATTATGACTTCTCACTACCCCTGAAACCATCATTTACTAAACTACTTTGTAAGTTCGATCGCTTTCTTAGATGACACAACATTCAAAGAGTTTTCATGAGTTTATTCACCTTAAATTAAATCTTCATTGTTGAGTTGTATCCATTACCTAAAACCTCACTATCATTTTTTATTAGTTCATTAAGCCGTAGCGGTAAATAAATCCGCAAAATAAATAGCTTGTAGTGACCTACCTGTATCAAGAGAACACGATGGGTTTGATGGAAACAATCATTATTCTAACCAATTGTACCGGTGATTGTTTAACTATGCTCGTTTGTTTAACTGTGCTAAAGGCAGCCATATTACTACTCCATTAGTCTTCATTACTCTCCTGTGGATTGTGACCTTGTACGCTAGTACTCTCGCCCACTAATTCCGCTTGTATTCCTTTTGGCACAATCTCGGTATTCGTTCGATACCACGAGTTCGCCAACGAAATAAATCTAGTTACGCTCCATCTTCGCCTTCTGATTTCTATGGTACGCGCTTCCTTGTAGTGGTGTTCATAGTCAATCGCGACTCGACTCCACGCTACAAGCTTTCTAAATTTTCTACATTGGATGTTGACCACATTAGATTTAATGGACTCACCTAGCTGAAGGCGCGCGATCATGCATCCGCACCAGATCACGAGTGGGAACGCCGTCCTCAACAACCACTGCAATCGCTAGCCAGATTAGATCAGACAATCCTCGACATATTGATAGCCTATCGAATATATCATCGAACCTCCTCGCTTCTGTCATTTGGTTTCACTTATTGGGGACGATTCATATCCGAAGATGTAACTGGTTAAAGCGTTGTTATACTCCGAATACCTGCATCATCTTCAAAGCGAAACAACACCATTCCAATTGTAAGATCCATTTTGAATGTTTTGTCTGTTTGTGAAAATCCCTCCATATATATACTTTCACTTTGTTCCTATTGATCCCCTTAGTTGTACATTGTTCGTTTTTTGATTACATTTGAATTGTTAATATTTGTATTTTGTCATAGTTTTTATTTTATTACGCCTTCACTAAGTTTTTGTGCTTCTTCCCGAACTGTATCTATGTTGTTTTACTTGACACTTGTTCTTGGCGGTAGCCATATTGATTTGCTCCTCCTTTTGTGTGTGTTCTATCCAGTCAGGATAGAATAACGTTCATTTGTTGTGGCTGGGAATTTTCCTTCATCTTTTATCAACTTCTTTATTTATTGTAATTTAGATTTGATTGACTGGACAATTATTGGTTGAATAGCCGGGTGGTAATATTTGTTTAGGTAACGATTTACATATAAATTTGTGATGAATTATAGAACCGCTGTTTACCCGATTACTTGTTTTGATTAAGATGGGAAAGGGCGCGTGTCTAACGTACGTGGAAGGCTATTCTTCAACATCCAAACCGTAGTTTGGATCTTACACCAATTTCGTAGCGTTTCGCACTGGATGCTTGAATACATTTGAACATCTTCCGTGATTGTTCATAGCGATTTAACTATCATCAGTTATACTATAAATTGTTTAACGCAAAATACCAGAAATTCGATTGTACAGCTGAAGGAAATAATATCGTTCTAAAGGAAGTTTTCTTCAGTCTATATTCTTCAAAACACTCCTTCGGTTTCTTTGACCGTTTCATGATAAATTTGTTTTGTCTTCAGTACTCTTGGTTGTAAGGAGCAAATAGTAGTTCGTTAAGTAAACAAATTCATATGCTGTAACGACTTTTCTGATTTACCAAAATTTATAAAGCGGTGGGAAAAAATGCATATAAAGTACATTTCACTCAATAACACTACGTATTGAAACCGGTTTTATTCATTACTTAACAGTCTGTCAGAATACAATGATTATTGCCTGTAGGAAAATTTACTTGATGGTCAACATAAATATTTGAATATCACTGCCTAATTTAATAAACCCTGGTGAATATATAGTCAGAAACAACCTAGTTTACTTTCTTTTCTTGATCGAAACAATAATTTCTGTCGATGGTAAGCATATGTTATTCTCACCATACAGTTAGTTAGCACAATCGGCCATGGTGGTAATATCATGATGATAATCACTTAATACTTCCAAAAACGCCCCATATTTTAAGTAAACAAAAACACCGTACGCCTAAAATTAAAAAGGGGGCTCTACATTCACTTTAAAAAACAGATGTTCTGTAATCACAAAATATTGATCGAAGCAACACAACAGTGGTCATCAAAAAAAGGATCACGACACTAAAGCTCTTGAACAAATCAGTTTTTGAAAGGACTAAATCCAGTCATTGACGTTTTTTGTGGTTTACGTCATATCGCAAATCATATAGTACCTTACATTTCTGTGGTTTACTTTGAATTTACAGACCAGGCACCCCGCTACGATTTATAATACAATTTACAAACATATCAACATATGAACTATCGGAATATTGGAGAAGTATATTGAAGACACTCCAACGCACTCCAACACAAGTTACAATCACATCGTAATTGAATATCGAAAAGAACGGAACTATGTTAATTTATGATGACTTATCATTATGTAATGGCGTTCCTATCGAAAGATGCTTAAACTTCATTAATGGTTTGCTAGAGAATGACAATATTCTTTTTGACGGATGTCCGTTAACCATCAGTCTCATTAGTCTAATGGATTAAATTGTGTTTAAATTCAGCCTTCCTTGCTTTCAACGGGACAATATAAAAGTAAACAAACGGATCGACAATGGGATCTCTCGTGTCCTTGGTTGTAGCCAAACTGTTAACGTCACTTAGAGAATCACATATTTTCATCACTGACTTTAAAACACGAATTAGGTTTACCTATATATTTTGTGCCTTTAGGTAACCTTCGTGCTATTGACAGAAGAAACCAGAGCAGTAGTGAATAGGCCTTCATTAAGATCGCGCAGTCACTGTGGTGCGTGAGACTACCTTTACAGACAAACAAAGCCTTTCAACATTCAATGTAAGATAATGGGAAATATAACGCTTATACAAACTAAGGGAGTAACTGAATACTTGAACTATACTGCTTTGACATATGTTTAGTTGTTTGAGGTCAACTCTTAGCCAATCAACCTAAATTGTTACATTAGTTTCCCTCTAGAATCGACCTCCTTAGGAAAGTCGGTCCGATTAACCTATCTATCAAAAATAAGTTAGTTCGATTTCCGCAGCCCAAAAGAGAATCATTAACTCGCTCACTGTTTGACTCCCAATCAATGACGACCAACTCCACCATCAATCAACGATAGTCCATGGATGTCTCTTCATTTACTAGCCTGTCAGCTTATTTTGTAGCATGTAATTTCTTCTACAACGCCCGCTGGCGGTCTTCTACGTGTTCACAAGAAAAGAAGTGTGAGAAAATGAAACAGGAATAGCAGAGGAAGTGCCGCGAGCAGGGTACCAAACACCATTTTGATGAGGTAAGATCTTTCCATGCTCAGGTGTTTACTCACCTGACTCATGAGTCACCCTGAAGCAAAAAGTAAAGAAGAATCTACTTCAAAGGTAGTGATGAAAACCAATAGATAAAAGAAATTTAACGAGGGCTCTAAATCTAACCATATGCCGAAAACCAACCCACTCAAATCATCACATCAACTTTGTTTAGCGCATCTGTAACGTCGATAGATCCTAATCAAAAGCTTGTAGGCTGAAAATGAGATAACTGGAAAAATAAACTTCCAAAATGTAACACAAAATTCTGTCAATTATAGTGAACGCAGAAACATTCATTCGGTATTCGATTCAGCGCATGACACGGCTCAGTCTTGTAGTACTTTATTTGATCTAATTTCAGTAGCTGTAATACCAGTCATTCAGTCATACGCAAGGTAGAACCTGACATACGAGTATATCGGTTTGAGTTGCCATACCACATTACATTATGATGCACGTAGAACTTGCTACCGTATGTCGATTTATAGGTAGTAAGCATTAGTATATATATTGTGAGCATTAAC